TGGATGTATAATTTAAATACCTGTGGATAGGGGAAGATTGTTAAAGTAATGCGCTATCTCATAACATTGAGATAAGCTCTACAGATTAAGATAAGGATTACAGGCTAAGATAAGGATTACAGATTACGAATAAGGATTACAAAATACGATAAGGATTAAGCCTACAGATTACGGGAACTCTACGTAACATCCTGACCTAAGCCCTATAAATAGAAGGGGCTAATTGACGATTAGAGGTACGCAATAAATCATAATTCAATTTCTTGATTTCTCCATAGAGATTACTTCTCACATTGACTTGTTCGTCGGAGCCTACTCCACCTGTAACACACCGGTGTTTGTAGGATCATTTTTTCTTCTCTTTATTCAGGAAGTCAAATCAGATCCGGATTGCGTAGAATCCATCATCAACAATACATATTATGAATTTCTATAATCCTCATATATATATATAATTATAAGACCTTTATACAGTAACAATAGAATATATTTATCCTAAATGGCCAACCATTACCTGCAAAACTGTATAGGTACAAATTGGATGAATTCTTTAACCACGTACTCTGTTTACCTGCAAAAACTGTTACAACATTAGTGAATATTATACTGACTAACCGAAGATCAAATTAATTAATTATACATACATATATAGACAAGTCACATTCTGGAATAACTTTGTGGTGGATGGGTAGGGTTTGGTATTGTTTATAAACCTAAATCTTAGTTGTCATTCCCTTTACTTTGGAATTTTTGGCTTTGGATTTACGCGGGATTAGGTGAAGTCCATTAGCTTACCCTCCAAATCAATTCAATTAATTAAAATATATATTTTAATGAAGAGAAAGAGTACAACCAAGAAAATTTAATTAGCCAAATGATCACGTGACAGGGCAGGTGAGATGACCATATGCACATGTAATGATGTAAATTGTGGAATAAGTTGCCTACTAGCCTCCAAATCCATTGGAATTTATTAGTAATTAACTTGTAATTTGAATCAGTTAAGAGATATAAAGGGGGTGGTTTCAACCATACTCTTCAACTCTTATCAATAGGGTAGTTCATATTTCTTGCATTGAGACTTGAGTGCCAAAGAACAATATTAAGGGGGGTCTAGGACATCAACTGTGTGTGTTTGTGTGTGTGTGTGTGTGTGTTGAGTGGATCTGGTGATCATGCCATTTACGCTGCTTCATAGACTAGATTACCAACTTTGGGTGCTATATAAAATATTACCTGCATATTGTCACAAATTAATAGAATAATTTCTTAGTTATGTGCCATTAAAAATAATATGACAAACATGTGTAGTTTATGTAATGCACCAATTTAGAAGTATGGATAACCTTAATTTCTTAATATATGAAGATTTAAAATTTAATTAAAACAGCTTTTCTTTGATTTATACATTACACAACATATGCATGTACAACATGCTCTTTCATACTACTTAGTTATAACTAGTTTAAGGTATCAATATTGTTCGGGATAGCATGAATTAATCCACAAAATCTAAAATTATATAGGTAATTTATATGTTTACGGATAAGATATTTGTAAGATCAAGAGCATGTTTCGTTCACTATCTTGATAATAAATTTTTATGTTTAGAGAACTTAAAAACAAGAAAGCAATAAAAAATGTAAGAAAAAAAAAAATGGAAAACAGTTTTTCAGACAATTGGACCAGATGTGTTTCAAAATCAAATTGTTAAAAATGATTTTCAAATTCTTTTTTGACAATGTGATTGAAGAACTCTAAAAACTTTATCGTTAATACGTGAATAAACTGTGGCTAGAAAACAAATTTGAATATTTTTTCCATTTTTACAAAGAAATTTAAAAATTGAAATTATAGCATTCTACACAATTCATACCCAAAAAAAATAAAAACACACACACACACACGACATGTATCACACACATCTCTCCCAGGTATATGAATGTAACTATGTAAATGATTGATCGATCAAAAAAATGGTTCAAACTTTATGAAAAACACGTACAGGAATTCAGTCCCGTGTGAAACTTCAATTACCCACTAAAAGGGGCTTGACTTAGGTTTAGTCAAAGGTCTTTGCAAATTGTTGTCAGCTTGTGTTTCACTCTTGTAAGTGAAGTTGGAATATTCCCATTTTCATACTAGTCGTATTATTCATACCTGTCATCATTGCGACATTACATAAAGCAAGACTAACTTCACTTACTTTGTCAAAAAGTCACAAAAAGGAAAATCATCTTCATTATGCAGCAAATTCAATCACTTGTATTAATTATGCGGTGATTAATACAAATTAATCAATTATGATTGATATACGGTCAATTCTTTCTTAAATGTGTATTTGTGTCACCACCCATAATTATTTTTTGGATGCTGAGGAATAGATATTTCGTATACAATTAATCAATTATGATTGATTTATGGTCAATTCTTTGTTAGATGTCTCTATTTGTATCACCATTCACCACTCATCATTATTATTTGAACAGTGAATAATAGATATTTAGTGTTTTGAACCGGAGTAGATTTGGTGTTTTGAACAGTGAAAAATAGATATTTGGTGTGTTGGATGCATAGTGTAACGATTCATTCGAGTCATATATGTACAACATGCGTTCACCCGTGTATGATACATATGACTTGAATGAGTTCAGTGCACGGTGCGCCGAGCACACCCTACCTCCTCGTTTGTGAAATAGAGATTTAATATTTGGTATACAATTAATCAATTATGATTGATTTATGGTCAATTCTTTCTTAGATGTCTATATTTGTGTCACCACTCATCATTATTATTTGAACAGTGAAGAATAAATATTTAGTGTTTTAAATAGTGAAGAATAGATATTTTGTGTGTTGGTGCAACCACTTATTCGAGTCGTATATGTACAACACGCGTTCGCATATGTATGATAAGAATGGCTTAGATGAGTTCAGTGTTCGCATATGTATGATAAGAATGGCTTAGATGAGTTCAGTACATGGTACCTGGGCACACCCTCAATTGTGAAATGAGAATTTGATATTAGGTCTATTTTTTGTCAAAAATATAAATAACTTTGTCTTAAATAATGATAGAGAATTCAACAATGAACAAATTCAATTAATTTTATATGTGTAAACTGTTGTCATTATTACATTATGAATATGAACCACTCAGATAAATTAGTCAAAACAAACTTCAAATTATTATCCTCTTATCTCTACAATTGATAATATATTCTTAATTAACTATCAAAATATTCTAAACTTTTCATAAAAATAGTGGTTTTATGTTTTGGTCAAAAGATGTCAAAGAACTTAAATAAACAACCATCAACGGTGATCAAGGTATTGGGGACTTTTTAATTCATAAAAATTAGATGTTAAAAGGGAAGAAGAGCAGAACACTTTATGGGTGTTTTTGATAAAATATAAAAAACATATTCACAAGAATCCAATTGTTGAGAATACGCGTTTGCCTTTCTGTTTACGATTCAATTAGTCTAAACCGACGAAGTTACAACTTGTGTGTTTGCTAAGAAAATGCTTCTCAAAGCAAAAACATAATCAATATCAGACCAAATATTAATGGGTTGTTTGTTTTAACTTCTCCAAACAAAAATAAATAAATAAAAAATAAAGAGCAAATATAGAAGCTCCATAAATATTTAATTAAATTTTTTTTTTTTTTTTCCTATTTAGTCAGCCTATTACAATACTTATTTGAGTTGGGATTCAGTTTTGTACAAATAGTAAAGTTGGTGATTATTACAAGTTTCTCCTTTGAAAAGGAAAAAAAAAAGGAATATATTTAAAATTATTATCAAATTCTAAAAGTTTTAAAGATAATTTTGAAATTTGAAAGAAAAAATTGCATATTTATATATTGTTGGACATTTATTTTCTAATAAATTAAAATGAGAATTAATTAAATGAAATAAATTCATATAACTAAAGTAAATTTTAGACTTTTGACACTGACCAAGGAAGGAGTAATTTCCGCATCACTAGCCGCTTACATTTATGAGAGAGTGATGGTCAGACTATGGTGTTTGACAAATTGAGAGAGAGAGAGAGAGAGAGAGACTGCTGTTTGATAAATTGAAAACGAGTCCGGTTCAATTTATTTATTTATTTATTTTTTTCTTTTTCACCACTGCGATCAAGATATTCTAAATTTCACCCCTTCATTGCATTAAATTCAAGATTTCCTTTGTTGCCAATTGCAATTGCTCCCGTTGGAAAATAATTTTAAAGTTGAATAGTTAGAGTAAATTATTTAGTCCAAAGATTTGATTAGTTAAAGAAATAAGATATTAATTGATCAAAACTATTGAGTTAAATAATTTAATATAAGATTTCGGTATAAATATCACTTTTAAGAGTCACATTCAACAATCTCAAATGCACTTACTAATTGACCTACCTTTCTTCTGTTGGTTTTGATTCTCAACTTGAAATATAATTAGACTTCAACGTTAAGATAATGTAACTTTTCACTCACATTATGAATTTGTCTGATTGTCGAATTTAATATTATAATTCTTCTTAATTATTTAGGCTTAGGTAGAGATTTCGAATAAAAAAAAAAAAAAAAAGAAGCTCTTCGTAGCTCTGCCATTTTTAGCTACTATCTCATTATGAATAAATTAATGTCATCTTGGCAACTTGCTTCAAAATGACTGATTTTAAATAACCATGTGATATATAATCAATTCACTTAGCCAAGAAAAATAAATGAATCTAATTTTGATCTATAACTATTATTATGCCATTAGTGAGTCCCACAAATTAAATAGTTTGAAATTAAATAAATTTAAGTGTATTTAAATTGAACCTTTAAAGATTTAAGAATGGAATCCACCACTTATCATAAATTGAATTATCATAATGGAATCATGGCAGTTATATTAATGTATGAACAAAGTCTTTATATGTGTGCATAATAAAGTGGCAATTTTTTTTTGTTCTCTCTGTGTGTGTGTGTGTGTGTGTCTATATATATATATATATATCCTACTCTTCCTTCAATGCGTTGCTTTTGTTCTCTCTGTATCATTGAGGACGCAAAAGGTACCCGGATTTGAAAAAGCTCTCTCTCTCTCTCTCTCCGTCCTTCTCTTCCTTCAATGCCTTGCTTTTCTCCTCTGTATCATTGAAGAGAAAAGTTCCCCGGATTTGATAGTTCTCTCTCTCTCATGGGTCGCCAACAAAGTGAAGCAGCCAGGAGTTGAAGCTCTGAACTCACAAGATGGAAATCTTCCTCAAATTCATACTCCTCATCTCTCTTTTCACACTTGTTTCATGTAATTCATGCAACACCGCAGATCATTACCTCCTCTCCAGAGCCTTCAGTTCAGTCTCAAACTTCAACTCCTCCTGGTTCAAACCCACCAATTCCAACTGTCCAAACCCTCCAATCCGACAAATCAACCTCTCCTCCAGAAACCTCACTGGTATTCTCTCGTGGCGGTTCCTCAGAAACATGTCTCACCTTCAAACCATCGATCTCTCCAACAATTCTCTCAAAGGCTCTGTTCCAGGTTGGTTCTGGTCCAGCCCACCTCTCATCAGAGTCAATCTCTCCAAGAATCAACTCGGAGGGACCATTGGGTTCGAACCCACTTCAGATATGGCTCCATTTTCATCGATTCAAGTCCTCAATCTTTCTACAAACAGGTTCACTAACTTGGCTCATCTCTCTGGTTTTCGAAACCTCTCTGTTCTTGACCTCTCCCATAACAATCTCAATATATTACCTTCTGGTTTTCCCAACTTAACCAAACTTCAATACATTGACATTTCAAGCTGCAACATTTCTGGCAAATCAAAGCCTCTCAAGGTTCTTCACTCACTCAAACATTTAGATTTGTCCAACAACCACTTGTTTGGTGATTTTCCCTCTGATTTTCCTCCACTTTCTGGGCTGGAGTTTCTGAACATCTCATTCAATAACTTCACAGGCCTAATCAACCACGACAAGGTCCAAAAATTTGGTAACTCTTCGTTCATTCACGCTGGTACTACTTCAAAAATCCCAATTTCAGTAAACCCACCACACAAATCAATCCAAAAACCCAAACCCATCAAGAAACAGAGTCATCGACACAGATCAAAAACAAAAACTTTAGTTTTGGTTTTGGTTGTATCATTAGCATCAACATTTGTTGCCATGGCTACGGTTGTTTCTTTGTACTGCTTGTGTAGAAGAAGAGAGCTGAAAAGGAACAAATGGGCAATCTCTAAACCGATTCAACTACCATTCAAGATAGAGAAATCAGGGCCGTTCAATTTCGAGACGGAGTCAGGGACGTCCTGGGTGGTGGACATCAAAGAGCCAAGTTCAGCACCGGTGGTGATGTTCGAGAAGCCATTGATGAACCTGACATTCAAGGACCTGATTGCGGCCACGGCACACTTCGGGAGGGAGTCCCTACTGGCGGAGGGCAGGTGTGGGCCCGTGTACAGGGCTGTGCTGCCAGGAGGCCTCCACGTGGCGATCAAGGTGTTGGAGCATGCCAGAGACGTTGATCATGATGAAGCTGTGGCGATGTTTGAAGACCTGTCAGGTCTTAAACACCCCAACCTATTGCCTGTCTCTGGTTACTGCATTGCAGGTACTGCGCATATATCACTCGTCTTTGATTTTTGGTATCTTATTTAATGGCTTCACGTGTTGTTTCATTGAGGGTTGTTGTCAACTAGTTTTGAATGAGTACGATTAGGGCAATTTCGGTTGGAATTAAATGAAGGGAAGAGAAATTAGATATTTTCCCAAAAAATGGTATGGAGTAGGACTACCTCACTGTTTGACGAAGAGTAGCGGTTCTGTTTATCTAATTTACAAAATTATATTAGAAATAAAATAAATTTAGTCTGAAAATAAAGAGATGAATGAGATCTCCATGAAAGAGATTGTTTTATTTCCTATTTTGGTTGGACAGAAGAGTAGGAGTTCTTATTATCTAATTTCCTCTTTTTGTTGATCATGATAAAGCTGTTTAGATGAATAATTTATTTTCTAGTTTGAAAAGTTTTATGCCTTCGAATAGAAATGAAAGGAAAATAATGTTTGATTTAGTTTTCTCAAAAATCAAAATAGTTCTAATTCAGAAAAAAATAAAATTATAAAAGAAAAATTTCCGAAAACAAGTTTTTTTTATAACATGATTTTCGAAAAACTGAATTAAACAAAATTTTTGTATAATTTTTTAACTTTCTATTATTAAAAAACTGAGAGAGCAAAATTCTTTGGACCATGTTTCCTCTTAAAAAATGCAAGAAAAAGAGGGAACAATGAGTTATTATTATGGGAATTAGTCCCTAGGACTAGATTTAATATTTAAAATATGCACGTATTTATTTATTTATTATTTTTCATTAACTCTCTCAAAGTGTAGCCAAGATTATATGTTTGCAATTATAGCCATTGTTTAAAATTTAGTCAGCTTTTTGCTAGATTAGACTCTGGTTTCAAAATTAGGCAATTATTTGCACAAGTAGGCAAAATGGGACTGTCATATTTCAAGCGGCACATGACTCCAATAATAAATTTGATTACCTTATTACCTTACTTTTTAAAGAAAATTACTTAGATTGTAAATTATGGAGATTGTAGTTAGGAGAACTGAAGATTGTATCATTTTAAGTAAAACACTTGTGGGACTTCTTTGGATCATAGTCGTTGATACTGCAATCAAAATGGCAATCTATAATGCATTTTGCATACCAGATTCAGGAATTGCCCTTATTTTTTTAATTCGGTAAAAGATAAAGTTTGTTATTTTTGTCTTATTTAATAATTTTTTTTATATTCTTATGTCCTAAAATAAATATCTTTTTTTTTTTTTTGTGCACAAGAAATCTAAATACACTTTTTTTTTTTTAATAGTAAAAGTGACATTTATTCGAAAACAATGACCAAATTTTAAACGAGTAGAGTTAAAAGGGATATTATGGAATTGACAGACTATGATTGTAAGTAGAGGGAATAAAATATAAGACAAAATATAAGATGGAATCATTGGAAAAATACTTGGCTGATGTTGCAATATAAACTTAAGTCACATAAAGTGATAATGGGAATGAGAACTAATTTGAGAGTGGAAGCAGGAGCGTGAGAGCAATAGAATTAAGTTATAAGTAATAAGAATTTAAACAAGAACGAACGTAGAGCATAAAAGTTGAGAAAAATTATATTACTTAGGTACAAACTAGAAACTTGGCTTATGTTACTGAAATTTTGTGTTTAACTTGTTTAAGTCTAAATTTTGCAACTGATGATGCACAGGCAAAGAGAAGCTGGTATTGTACGAGTTTATGGCCAACGGTGACTTGCATAGATGGCTTCACGAGCTCCCCACGGGCAGAACAAACGTGGAGGATTGGAGCACCGACACGTGGGAGTATCAGGATGGAGAAGTTGGACCCCACATATCATCTCCAGAGATGATGGAATGGCGCACGCGCCACCGCATTGCAGTGGGTATAGCCCGCGGACTTGCCTATCTCCACCACGCGCGGTCCAAACCTGTGGTGCACGGCCATTTGGTTCCCTCCAACATCCTACTCACCGACAACTTCGAGCCGAGAATAGTTGATTTTGGACTGAGTCAACACCGAGATGGTGGAACTACAGAAGCGGATGTGTACAATTTCGGTGTAATGTTGGTTGAATTGTTGACCGGCCAACCCGGTTCTGATGAGACAGTTGGATGGACGAGGAGGCTGGTGAAAGAGGGAGTCGGAGCGAACACGCTGGACTCGAGACTGAGACTCGGCGATGACTCAGTGAGCGAGATGGTGGAGAGCCTCCGAGTTGGGTACTTATGTACGGCGGAGACTCCTGAGAAACGACCCAACATGCAACAGGTTGTGGGTTTGCTGAAAGACATACATCCCTTAACGGCAGAGTTAAATTGAGTTGACTCGTCACTTCAATTTCCAACACTCTCTCCATTTCCAATACCACGCAACCTTTGGGCGCGTGTGCACATGTTTCAGCACGTGAGAAGCACGCGCTATGGTGTCTGGTTGGGACCAGTCACGTGAGGGTATATTTTTTCCTGTGTTGCAGAGTCACGTGAGGTTTCAATGAGGACCCATGACTCGTTGTCCAATTTAATACGAGTATTTATTTCGTTTTGTAATGTTTTATGGACAAAAATATAAAGATAAAAGAGGAAAAGAGAAAAAAAAAAAGGTGGACAAGAATAAGTGGGATAAGGTAAAGATTATGGTGTGTGTGTGTTTTCTTTGAGCCAGAGAATCTCACTGATTGTTTGTCTCTTCTTACAGACTTAGCATCATCATCTTCTTTATTTTTCTTTCTATTTTTTTTTTCTTTTCTTTTTTATTTTTTTCTTTTACTTTGTTCCTTTTAATTGTCCATATTTCTTTTATTTTTTAAAAAGAGATAAAGATAGACAGGAATATTTTATATTTATGTATGTACGAATGTATCTAAGAAGTGTATTGGTCAAAGCATCCTCAATGGAGCATTCTCTGTGTGGACCATTTCCCTTTGTGTTTTTTATTTTTATTTGATGCCACCAACACCACTCTGTATGTTTGATGCGTTACTATATTTTTCAGCATTGTACAATAAAGAAATAGTAAGGCAAGTCTAGACAAACTCCTTAAAAATCAAAACTAATAAACCATAATAGAAAATTTTATAGAGAAAACAAATGTAACTTTAGAAAAATAAAAGTAAAAAAATGACGGTCTACTTTTATCTATGTGATTTTGAGTCTTAATTTATAGAATTTTAATTCTTTTATGTGTCGCTGAAGAAGATCACTCCATATGTGGTGAAATCTACATTAATTGTGAGGGCCAAACCCCACATGGGGCAATTTACAACATCCTTCACCTGTGCCATGGAATGTCTTTATATATATATATATAAAACTGCAATGTTGTCCAAATGTCCATATCAAAATATTGTAAAAAAAAAAAACCAAATTCATAAGATTAGATTCTACACGGAAATATTATTAAAAAAAAAAAAAGCCTCCATAAATTTGCGTCCAAGGAACTTACTGTCTAAGTTGGTGGCTAGTGCGCAAGTCGCATAAGCCCACAAAAATGTCACAATCTACTGATTATAGAAATATTCGCAGTCCATGAATCAAAACAGAAAAAAGGTTAGGCAGTGGATGTGTAAAAAAGATTCAGCAATATCATCTTTTGATGCCACATGGGAATGCAAATTAGTATGTGTGAAAATTAATAAAATGTGATAGCAATTGTGATAGGAAAATAAACAATTCATGCCGTGTGGGAGTCTCACACTACAAATTACGACATGCATTATTTATTATTTATTATTTTTTATTATTATTTTGTTTAATCATATTAATTTTTATAACGTGATTATTGACCATGGTGCAGAAATAGCCTTTTGTATATAGTAATCTATTAAAAATGTCACTCTACCAAAATAATAATAATACTAATAATAATAATAATAAAATAAAAATTCAGGATTGCTTTGGCTTTTTCATATCAAAGATGGTGTCTAAGAGTGTGAGATGTGATTACACCATGCCATGTAAAGGCCTCGGCAAATATGGGACCATGACCTAATGGATCAAAATCCTCTTCAATGAGAGGAAATTGTTCAACTGGTGAATTTATTATCATCAATGATAATTTAAGTTACTATAGTGACGCGGGTTTTTTTCACGGAGAGAATTTTGATTTTTTTTTTTCTTCTAAAAAACTCATGCATTCACTTTGTTTCGATCTCCAACAATTTGAAACCATCAACTCTCAAAATAAGTCCTACTAGATTACAACCTCATCAAGACCTAATTAAATTTAAAAGTTAAAACTCAAGAACAGAAAAACCCATAATGTCTGTATGGCAAGTCCCATGATATTGAAATATATATATATATATATCTCCCATAATGTTTTTTTTTTTTTTTTTTAATCCTGGCAATTAGAAAAACAACATACGGCATCTACAAGCATTGCCAAAAATGGCCATACAATGACAAACAAATCATGAAGCAACAAAATAAAGATTGAAGACCAAGCTCCAGATTTGCTGAAAAACAAACCAACACACAATAGTGGAAACCACCAAGGAGAGAAGAGCAGTAAACGGGAGTGACCCAAAGGTCAGGCCATCATCATCAAGGCAACAATTCCAAGGCTGCATCCACAAGGCGCCGCCGACTAGGAGAAAAACCACCCAACCCCGCACAAGAAGGCGGGAACAACAAAACCTGACATAGATCTGAGATCTAACCGGAGACAAAATAACAGATCCACCCCGTTGAGCTACAAAACCAACCAAACAGAAGTAGATCGAGCAAAATAACAACAAAATAGCGTAAAACCACCCACCAAGCAAACTATTTACAACACGCCGAGTTTATTATGTATTGGGTGTTGGAAATTTGTATATATATAAATAATAAAAATTATTTATGGTCCTATACACTATGTTTTCTAATATGAGATTGCAGTGTGATTATTGATACTTGATATATTGGGTTGTACTTTTCAATTTGGTGTTCTAATTGGGAGTATGATTTTGGATTGTGGTTTTCCAACTTATTTAATATGGTTTAATTTTAACCATTTATATCTAAGTTTATAGGAAGAGAGACTTAGGTATGTTTCTTTGTAGAAAAGTCGTTTCCCTGTTGTTGAAATATATAAGGGTTTTAAACAATTATTCAGCCCTATCGAAGGACAACTCTTAGAAGGGGGTAAAATGCTCTAATGTTTTGTAGGAACTCATAATGGATTACATGTATATTTTAAAGGTATTATCTGGTTTAATTATCAATTAGGTACGAGACTAAATTATCTTTAATTAATTGTAATATTCTTAATTTCTACATGTAAATTATTTAATTAAAACCTAACAATTAGTATCAGAGCCATGGTTTGGCTAGGATTTATATAGTAGAAATCAGGAAAAAAGAATGAATTACATATTATTTCTTGACATCAATATGAAACTAATCGATTTAAGAATTGATTTTGCTGTCGATATTTAATACATGTAGATTCTGCGATTTAGTTCACCGTTTGCAATGAACATTATATTACTTGATATATGATTAGAATATCTTTAAAGATAAAAGGAATAAAGGTCTACGTGTTGACGTAGTATATAATGAATATATTACATATATAAAGTTAAGGCTTATGAATTCTTTTCTTCGTGATTAGCATGACTTGATTTGCATGCACTTATATACTTGTTTCTTAAAAAGGTATTGATTTGCATGCATGCGCGCGCGCACATATATGATTGTATGGGCATGAAAACAAAACTATTTAATGTCACAGTTTTGTCATTTCTTAAAAACCAAGCATTGCAAAATTGTTTAATGACTTGCTTTGTGGCTTTCTGATTTAATGTTTCTTGCGTTCAATTGTAGATATACAATTGCGAGTTTTACAATTGAAATTAATTATTTTATTATATTAATTTCATTTATTATATTAATTTCAATTGTAAAATTCAAAAGTTTTGATTAATTTTGAATTATATATATTTGCATATGCTGGTATGATGTATATATATCAGGTTGTTTCTTTTGAAACTAAAGTACATAATTTGTGAGCATGATTATCTATATATATAAATATACATATAAGTGTGTGTGTGTGTATATATATATATGAACAAACTATTTGATTTGAGGTTGAAATTTGATGAATATTTAATTAATATAATATTAATCCATGTTAACATGTACTGAACATGAAGCTCCGTGCACAATATTTTTAAAGTAATCCATGATAAAGGTAGTTTTGGTTTTAAAACTTTTGTGAATGATTACATATATAAGGTGTTAGTAGCAGATCCTGTTTATTGTTCATGATGATTACATGAAATTATAGTTTATATATGTTGCTTGTATGAAAAAATTCACATATGATACGTTAGGTATAATTGATTTATATGTATTCACACATGTGTTAGAGTTGATAAAGTACAATGACAGAATTTTCTTGTGATCAAATTATAATGAGATTGAGAATCTTAATTTGTTTGTACCATAATAGAACCAGTATGGAATGATTTGTTTGACCAGTATATATTAACTATGGATAAATTATTGCATGTAATATATACATGTACAAGTTATTTATTAGTTTAATGTGAAACTGCGTGGCAGTTTAGTCACGCACTATATCTATTGTTTTTATTGATTAATTTATAATACTTGTTTAATTTTAAGTTAAAAAAAAAAAAAAAAAAAAAATTATTGGGGGTTGGGTGTCATAAGCAAGTATTATTGATCTAATTAATTTAAAGATTCAAGTACTTGAAATTGTTCATCGGATATATAATATACATGCATCAAGTTTTGGTATTTTATTTTAATTAAAGTATATAAAGAATTAAGATTTTTAAATCTTAATTGATGTGTATGTTATTATATTGTTCACTATAATTTCTTGATATGTTTGAGGAGGCTTAATTTTATTTATGTTAAAACCATTTTATATTACTGTGAAATCAAATGTTCCATAATATTTGGTTTAGTTTATATGTATTATAAATAAATTGTTGAACTTAAATAAATGAAACTTCTGCGGTATAGGTTCTTCCTTGGGGTTTAGGAAGACCGGTAAAGTGACTGTTTCAAAGGTACGTGGTAGCCAAAGTGGGTGATGCTTGCCAAAAGGTGACACGCTCAATGAAGTTATTATTTTTGAAATTTTAAGGCATTGGTCTTATTGAGGTCTCACAGTGTACTTACCTACACGAGGGCATTTGTTCTGTCAAAAGGTAATCAATGTCTTAGTGTGGGATAAATGAATCGAATATTTGAGAGTATTTGAATTATAACTAAATTACCTTCTTACGAAAAGGTAGTGGAAGTGTTTAGCAATAATTCTAGTATAATCTAATAGATCTATGTGCAATTTTATCGCAGGTTTAGGGGTAAAGTAATATCTAAATTTCTGCCAAAATGTGATTTTTTTATGGCATTTTATATGTTCCCGCAAGGTGGACGGTTTTTTGCGCATAATAAAATACCCTGAGAAATTTAGTTTAAAACCCCAAGCACGAATTAAAGTAATAATCCCTAAAGCTGTGACATATTATTTTATATGTTGTTTATGTAGTGTTATTCAATATAACATCTATTCAGGTTGCAAACACTTCTGCTGTGTGTTTTTGTGTACCACTTATAAATTAACCACTCGCAACAGCACGACTCCTTGTAGGATAGCACTATAGAGAGCGTGTCGAACCCACAGGGAGATGAGTTATTATGTTTTGTTTTTAACTAATTTTTATTGG